CTTTGACTTATCTTCACATAGGGGGAACTGGTAAATAAAGGAGCTGGGGCTCCTCCCAAGCCCATGTGACCCCTGCTGGAACAGATCCTCAAATGACTTTAAGAGTAAAAATAAATTGGTTTATCTGGGCCAACTCTATGGCCTTAAACACCCAAAAGGAAAGTATAACCAAAGATTAAAGGGGCCAATATAATTTCTTAAGAGTCCATATGCATAGCTAAATGCTATATAACAAGCAACAATGCCAGATAGGTGATACATTCTTTTGAGTTGTTGGCCAGGGTGGCCAAAGGGACTCCCAGATCGTAATCCAGCATAGAACTGGGAAAATGAACAGCAGACCCCAATCTTATCTAAAGGAATACTGACAACTGATTGCTGCTAGATGAGGAACAGCTGACCCTCCTAAAACAAAGACCTCTAGATAAGCTGACTAGATTCACCAGAAGGGCAAGTAGTGGGGAATGGCTGGGGGTGCCGACAACACAGCAGACAGTATCAGGGATATCAGAGTATAAGGGCTCTAGTGGGGGAAAGGGAGGTTATAGGAGGGTGCCATCTGGGAAGTGGGTGTATAGTTGAATGAGATGGCTTGGGATGTTCTGTGTGATACACACACACAAGAAAAAAATCAACAAATTTTTTAAAAATGTATTATATTTGAGGAGGAAGCATAGAAATTTACATCATGCTAATTAGTAGAGATGATAAACAATACCATTGAAATCTACCCGATGACTTTATAGACATACACAGGCACCAAGGACCCAAGTGTAACCGATTATGACTAGTATCAGATACATACAGAGTAGAGATGCATGTGTCACCATCTCAGTGTTGGTAGCAAAAACAATGAGTCTGCAGGGAACAATATATTCTAAAATGAAATGGAGATTTTTTAAAGGTTAAAAACTCATGCAATTTTATGTCTTACGGGGCTAATACTGAGTTCAATAATATATAACTGTATTAATTCAACTGTGAACCTAGAAAGATGCACCCACTTGTGAAAGAGATGTACTCTTGCTCTGGAATGTGTTACTGAATATGTTAAAGCTGTAGTGAAACGCTTCTTCTAATCATGTAGTTATTTAAAAAAAAAATTTAAATGATAAAAAATAATTCTTCAAAGCATAAAAATTTGCTCCTTAATAATTAGTAGATGTGAAAAACATTACCACTGAAATCTACCTGAT